GAGTTGGGCTGGTTCATTGCACTTCTAAAATTAATGAGCAATAGAAGAACAGGATCTTGATGGTTTTTTTTTTCCCCCCATGTGAGGAAGGTGTTGGACCAATTCAGCGTGGCAGGGAGGGCATCCCTGCTCCAGGTCAGCTCCTGTGCCATCAGTTCCCCCATCCATGGCCTGTCCCTCCCTCCCTGCTCCCTTTGCACACACTGAACTCACAGGCACACAATTTTTCGCTCTCCTCCGTAGGTGGAGGTGCCCCTGCGGATTTTTCTAATCCCAGCTCCTTCTTCCTGATAATTGTCTGTGAGGCTGCATTGACAGGCTGTGAATGTGGTGTGAGGCCCATAATCAGCCTGTGAGACAGCACAGGAGGCCACCCACTGCCCTCAGGACTGTCCCTCGCTTAGGGCAGGCAAGGAACCTTTGGAAGCCGGAGGAAGTCGGTGGGAAGCAGGGCGAGGGATGGGAGGGGATGGAGCATGGCCTGCAACCTCCACAGAGGTGAGCTGGGCAGCCAGGGGCAGGAGGAAAATCACGGTGGGTCGGAGTGATAAACTCCTGCTTGCTGCTTTTGAATGAAGCAGGGCCTGGCTCTGAAATCTGGATCAAAAATCCCCTGTTCCTGCACCTCTTCTTTGTGGATTCACAGGTGCCGAGTTCAGACACCAGAGGAGAGTGGTTGGATCATTCAGACTGGAAACCCAGCCTGGAAATTCTTCCACTGATCTCAGAAATCACTGGAGCTGTAGCAGCCACTTCCCGTCCTGCCTCTGGATTTAGGAGCACATGGCAACCACCAGGTCCTTCCCAACCCCATCCCTGGAAGTGTCCAAGGCCGGGTTGGATGGGGCTTGGAGCAATCTGGGATGGTGGAAGGTGTCCCTGACCATGGCAGGGTGGTGGAATTAGATGATCCTTAAGGTCCCTTCCTGCCCAAACTGTTCTGTGATTATTTGAGTGCTGCCTTCCCAGCTCCATCTCCTTCTCTGCAACATTTTCTCTCTTGTTCCAGTGGTGTTTCTTTGTTTCCAGCAGATTTATTCCCATGGATGCCGTTTCCCTCTGCCCCTGCCCAGCCCCACCACACCCAGGTGTGGTCCAGGGCCCAGGTGCATGGAAAACTTGATACTGAGACAACAACCTCTTGTCTGGGGCATGGATCCCACCGTCCTCCTCTCTCCATCATCTTCCAAACCAAGTTTGTCTCATTCTCAGCATGAATCCCCTGTTTTCCTGCTCCTACCTCTCCTGCAATCTTGCTTCTTTCTCAAGAACTCTACACCAATTTCTTTTTCCCCATAGAAAAATCCACTTGGGAATTGCTGTGGTCATCCCTTCTTCCAGTCATCTTGGGTGTGACATATCCTCCTTTCCACACTCTTGCTCCTCTCTAACTTCCTTCTCCAAACAGATCCTTATTGCTTTTCCCTTCCCTTAGACTCCTCCATTCTGTTCTCCTTGACTTGGTAAGGCTCCAGTTGGGAAACAGCCCAGTTTTCCATCTCTCCCAGCCTCTTCACCTCCCAGCCCTAATGAATGAGTTTTTTCCTTCCTTCTCCTAATGCTCTTTTCTTCAGCTTGGCTGTTTGGGACTCATCAGATGCAATTAGTGTTCGAATCCAGCAATCTGGTGATTGGAGGGATGAAGGATAAGCTCTTTTTTTGGAGCCAATCCTTCCTTCCAAGTGGACTTCCTAGGTCACTTGGAGCAGCCAGCTCCAACTGCAGTGGTCAGGGATTTCCCAAAGCTGAATCCCTAAAATCAGTGAAGATTTCCCCAGCACAGTTGACAAAGTCTGGAGAGCTGCTCAGTGACACTTCAGTGGTGTCACCTACCAAGCACTGTCCACCTTGCTCCCTGAACTCTTCACATTCCTATATTTTATTAGAATTCCCTCTCAAAATTAAGTGAAATAACTTCTTGGGCTTTTTGAATGTATTTCCTGCACTAGAACTGGTTTAAGAGGTGCAGGGTTAGACCTTTAGCAAACCGGTTTGGTCGTTGCTGACTTCAGGTATCGAAAAACCATCTCTCGGGCTTCAAAAATCTTAATAAAAGGAAGAGGGGAAATCAAGGATTTTGTAATAAGATTCCTGATTTAAAACTTGTGCCGTGGTGGACGTCAGGTGGGAGGTATTTGAGACAAGAAGGGGAAGCAAAGGAAGCAGAAATGTTGGTCTGTGTGATGGTGTTTGGTGGTCCCGGTTTCGAGGTGCGGCGACATCGCAAACATTGTCCTTCTGCTGAGATAATGTTGTTGATGCTGAAAACAAACCTGGTGGCAAAATAAATAGCAGGAATTCTTGAGGAAGAGGGAGGGAGGGAAGGCAGAGTGGTGCCAGAGGCACAGTAGAGCCCTGAGGAAGGTTTCCCTCCTGTTGAGGTGTTTGGTGCCGGTTTCGTGTTGCGGGATTTTAGGAAATGTTGTGTAATGTATCCCTGTGTCCGGCTTCCCCCAAATTTTTGGGATGCTCCATCAGCCAGATCAAGGAAGTGCTCTGCAGGAAGAAACCTCAACAAACCAGGCAATTTGAAAAAAGCTGGATTTGTCCTCTAATCCAGGTCATAGTGTAGGAATATGTGGATGACTCCCCATCCCTGGAAGTGTCCAAGGCCAGGCTGGATGGGGCTTGGAGCAAGCTGGTCTTGTGGAAGGTGTCCCGTGGCAGATCTGGATGATCTTCAAGGTCCCTTCCAATCCAAACCATTCCATGATTCTATGAATATCCCAAACCAGGACTGCACTGAACCCCCTGGGAGAAGAATGAAAACCCTTCAAAAAGCTCATTTCTCTGTACTGAGCTGCAAAGGGAGCCCATAGGACAAGAGGAAGCAGCCCTAAGTTGCACCAGGAGAGGTTTAGGTTGGATATGTAGGATGGGGGAGGATCACAACAGTAATCCTGCAGTTGATTTTTGGTGATGACTTTGCCTCAACAGTGTCCTTTGGCAGCCCCATGTAATTAAACTCATTAACCTCTCCTTGCTGATGGCCCTTTCCCTTATCAGGGTTGAGGAGTCCCTGCTCTTTGTCAGATGCTCTCCTTGACCTGTTTACCCTCATCCCACTTCCTGACCTGCAGGAAAGAGTTCACAGATTGGCTAAAGCAATTTCCAAACTGTAGAAAACAAACCCTCATTAGTTTCCTCTGTCTAGTCCTTGTGTTGGGAATTTGGGAGATTGGATTTAAATCTACAGCAACATTTAATTTCGTGTTCCCAGCAGGGTGGTTGCTGTAAGTGGGGAAGCGACTTCCTCCAATTGAATCTGAATGTAAAATGCTTTTATTAGCCGTGGCTTCACAGTGGTGCCTCTCCCAGGTTCCTCTTTTCTCTTTCAAAAGCTGCTGCTCTTCCTCTTCATGGTCAAATCCCTCCATCAAACCTGCAAGAGGAGGCTGCAAACCCAACAGAATTTGTCATCAGTGCAGATTAACCATATCCAGGCTGTCAATGCCCAAATCCACGGGGCGAGAGCAGCAGAGCCAGGCTTCAAAACGTCTCATTCTTCAAGCCACACATCTCAGGCTGCTTTACAGTTTCTGGAAGCACTGAGGTTTTGAAAATGCACATCCCAACACTTGGAAAACGTAGGAAAAAAATTAATTCAGTCATTTTTGAAGGTGGGGGGAAGATCAAGATAAACCCCTGGTTGTTGCCCAGACCAACAAGCACCACCAGGACTCTCTTGGGCTCAGCATTAGAGCCGTGTTGGCTGAGGACAAGAGGAAGGGTTCCTGCTTGGGGGTCTCGGTGAAAGCCTTGGGCAAAGGCTCTGGAAATACTTCCCAGGGTTTGAAAACCAGCACTTTACTTATGCAGGGCTTACCCAGCAGTTGTTCTTCTCAACATCTTCCTCTCAGCCTCTGAAAAGTTGGGATGCGCTGCGGATTCATGTATAATGGAGCAGCTCACAAAATATGTTCTCCCCTGCTTTGCTTTTCATCTTGAAACCCCCCAAATTTGCTGGCAGCTTTTTGGCTTTGGCTGAATTTTTTTTTTTTTTTTTCTTAAATTTTGCTGCGTTTTTGGCTGCAAACTCTTTGGCCACACGTTGCTGAAGGCTCACGTTTCCAGTTGAAAATTCCTGTCTTGGGGCTGTTGGGTTTTGTTCGTGCTTTTGAGGTTTGGGAGGTTTTTTTGGATGACAAAGAGCAAATATCGTGAGGGAGAGTAATCTGAAGTCATATGAAGACAGAAGTCATTCCCCTTGAATGGGTTTGTTTAATTTTTAACCCCATTTCTGCCTGAAAACAATTTTGATGGAGGTTCTCCCAACTGTCACTTATTATCAACCTGAGACTTAATGAGGCAGCAACACTCCTCCTTACTAGTTTATATTAACACCTGAATTACTTAGATCCATGAAAAACTATGGAGAGCATTAATCAAGTGTTGGAGGAGGCAACAAAAACTGATCCATGGTTATAATAAACTCTATAGCCCAAAGGTTTATATTGGAGTGGGGTGGTGTAGTTTTTACACACCCTGGAGAAGGAATGAATTGTGTTGGGCCACCACCACCACTGATATTTGGCTTTTTCCCAGCCAGGTGAGGGTTCCCAGCACCAAGGATTTGGTGCTGGATGTGGAAAGTGCTGGTGAACTGGTTAAAAATGGAGCTAAGGGATTTCCAGAAGGACTGAAAGGTGTTCAGTGGTTTCTTGCTTGTCTTTTAGCTGGAAAGGGTTTAAACTCAATAGCTGGGTTCAATTCTTCATTTAAGCCCAAGAGTTGGGTTCAAGCCTCTCAGTAAGCCAAACAGTTGGGATCAACCCTTCATTTAAGCCCAGCAGTTGGATTTATCCCTTTGTTGGATAAGGGGTTGAACCCAACACAGTGAAACCCTACAGTGTGGGGGGTTTAGTTCTCTAAACTGTGTGGGGTGAGACCCCAAAGTGTCTGCAAGCTGTGACATCTGCCCTGCTGCTTGTAATTAACTGTCTCTGCACCTCTGGTTTGTTGTTTTTTTCGTTTTGGTTTGTTTTTTTTCCCATTCCAAGGTGGGCCTTAACGTTCTGATTCAGAGAGCAAACAAGTTTACCCCGGCCACTCGTCTCCTGATCCAGAGGTTTGTGCCGTTCCCTGCTGTCGGTAAGAAACAACACCTTTCCTTTGTATTCAGAGTGTTGCCTGCAAACCTGCTGGTGGCCAAAAGCCACTGGGATGGACACCTAATTCCTGCTTTCCTGCTGGTGTCCCATCAGTGGTGGGTCCCTGAGTGGGTGCAGACAGTGGTGGGGTGGTTTGGCAGCGTTTTGGCAGGAAGATGGTGCCAAGCTGGAGGCAGCTCACGAGGCTTCTCAGCTGCACTTTCCACTCTCAAGCAGCTTAAAAAAACACGATCGGTGTTGGCCAGTCCTGGTCCGTTCAAATCCGAGAGCCTTTAATTTGCAAGGCCTGGTTTCAATCATGTCAAAATCAGATCTTCAGGTGAGTGGTGGCACTGTGGTTGGTTTACAGTAAAATGCAATGAAATGGTTCTGCTCTGAATATACAGATTGCTGAGAGCCGCTGATTAAAAACAGACTGAAGTGTGTGAAGAGTTAAGGCTTTTTGGAGCATTTTACCAGCATTTTATTGACTATTTGCTGAGTGAGGGGAGGGACAGGCTGGACTCAGCCTTTGCTGGAGCCTCTGGTAACAACCTTCAGCAAATGGTGAGTTATTTTAGCCATCAAAAAATCACCAGTGGCTTTAGGGAAAGTTTTCCATGAGCTTGTTCATTTATAAAGTTGGTGCAAAAATTGCCCAAGAATGGAGGAAATCAGTAAACAAAGGGGGTTTGCTCCCTGTTCCAGGTCCCTCTTCAGCCATTTAATGCAAAACCTTCCTTTAAGCTTTTCCCTTTTGCTGTGCAAGTGCCACATCCTTGGAGCTTCGCTTGAGGATGCTCAGCCCCTTTACCTGAGCCCCTTTAATTGTTGCTCTCTGGTCCTTCTGCTCCTTTTTTAACATAGATCTGCTTGCTCTGACACTCCAGACTTCAGTTCCTGAGTTCCTGCGGGTTTTTTTCCCCCCTTTTCTTCCAGAAAAACAGCCTCTTGCTCTGCCTGCAGAGCAGGGGGTGACAGGGATTGTGGTCTGGGCTTTGCACTCCCTCTTGTTCCTGAGCCCTCTCCTTGTACACAGAGGATCTGTTGACATTATTACATTATTTTCCTGGATTTTCCTGGAATATCTTTTAGGGGGGTTCAATTTTCTCTGGGTTTTTATAACCAGGAGGGCTCTTGGGGTGAGTTCAAGCCCCGGGAGGCAGCTCCAGGGCGGGGTTTGAGTCAAGCAGGGAGCCTTTGCTGCCGGGTTGATCTATTTTCATCCCAAGGTGTGAGGAGGGAGAGGTTACGTTTGTGTTGGCATTGATTGAGGACCCATAATTAATTTGTTTAGCCTGTAATTAATTCTCCAGCTCCTATTTTATTTGTGTACCGTCATGCTTCCTTATGTGCCAGGACATCAGGAGTCCTCCCACTAATTGCTGTTTGGTGGTTCAGAAAGCTGTGAGTTATTGGTTTTGCAGACCTGGACAAACTGTTTAATTAAGACTCGTCTCCCAATTACTTTTGAACCACCAGCCCCTGGCAAAAAGGCAGAATTTCTCTTTTTCTACGTGAAAAGACAGCTCTTGCTCCCCCAAAAAAACAAACCAATATTTCTGGGGGGGATGTGGCACTCAGGGACATGGGTTAGTGGTGGACCTGGGGGAAGGGTTGGACTTCATGATCCTAGAGGTCTTTTCCAAGCTTAGCAGTTCTGGGATTCTCTGAAACCACTCCCACTAAGCAGTTTTCCCTTTTCCATTGATCTCCAGCTGTGGTTGGTAACAGCTGGAAAACTGAAGGGATGCCCCAAAGCTTTATGGTCTCTCATCCCAAATTATCACAGGAGATGGAGACTTGGGGATGGGCAGCTACTGTTTGGATGGAAGGGAACAAGATTCCCAGCAGAAATATCCACAGAGGCTCCAAAAAGCTTTGGGTGGGCACTGGGAAAGCTGATCTGGGGGTCTTGCTGCCCTCAGAGATGCTCTGCATGTTGTGTGTCTCCTCTGGATGGTGGAACAGTTGTCTTTGCACCATAAAACAACCCCTATCTGCAGAAGTTCTGCCTGTAGGACATAAAGTGGTGCCAGGAGGGTGGGCCACGCCCTCACACTCCTCCAAAGTTAGTCTGTAGCAGCTGAAAATCATGTGCTTTTCCAAAAAAAACCTCTCCCCAGTCCCAGGGGGTGGATCCAGCAAACCAATCCAGGTGGAGCAGCTCGTGGAGATGGCCAAGGTTTTGCAGAGCCAGTGGCTGCCCTGGCATAAAAGGGGTTTGGGGTTGATGTTGGCCACCCTGGAGCATCATCTGGTGAAGGTGTTCTCTGTGGAAAGAACAGGGAGTGTGCTGGAGCTGTGTTCTGGAGAACTCAGTTTGAGCAAGGAGGGGCTTGGTCCTTTCTCAGGGATGGGGTGGGGAAGGATATCAATGCCCAGGGTCATTGCAACCAACCCAATTTCCCCTCTTTTTCCCAAGAACTGGGTGTAAAGAGCTGCCACCGAGGTAATGGGTGTCACTGGAGAAGTTTTGGCTAAAAAACCCCACACAAAACCCCCAAAATTGCATCCCAAACCTGCTCTGAAGGAAGTTAAAGCTGTAGAAAGATGCTTATGACAGGAATGGGAGAGGGATGAAGGATTTCATCTCCCTGAGGTTTTTTTTTAGTGTGTGTGCATGGTTAAAATTGTTACATGTGTTTAGGTGACACACAAGGATGTGTTTAGTGTGTGGAGAGCACCCTGGTATAGAAAATATATATATAAAAACATATAAAAGTAGCTTGTTTTGGTGTCTGAACCCCATTTTCCAATACACCACAGAGTGTTTTCACAGCAGGAGTTTCCAGGCTTTATCACCACAATTCCTTCCCAAATTCTGAAAATCAATTTGTCTGCACAGAAATTTCTTTATTTCTCCCCCCAGTGTTTGAGACATCCATAAAATCCAAATTTAGCCATCATTAGCAGCATTTTCTGCTCTCTCAGGAAGCAGAAGGGGAGCAGTCCAGTGAGTTGCCCATCTCAGACAAATGGGCTGGAATCAGGTTTTTGAGTTTGGGGACCAGGTCAGCGAATCCAGAGAAGCATTTTGGGAGCTTCAGGCCTGGCCACCCCATCCTGAGTCTCACAGCAACCTTGTGCTGCTGCATCCTTGGCCAGAGCATCTCCACTGATGTTGTTGTTTTTAATCCGCTCAGTCTTGATTGACAAGTAGAAGAAACGGGGCATGCGAGTGTTAAAAAAAAAAAAACCAAAAAAACCAACAAGGTGGTGGTGGTAGGGGGGATGGAGCTAAACTTTCTTTAAATGAACTGCCTGTTTGCTTTTTTAACTGGGCTGAAGGAGCTGAAGGGCTGGTAACACAGATTCTTTTTGATAGACGGGAAGAGCGGTCCCGTAGTTGGAATGTTGGAGAGAGAGAGACAGAGTGTGCATGTGTGTGTGTGTGTGTTCCTCTCCCTCTCGAGTGTAAGGAGCATTTGTCACCACAAATCATCCTTGATTGCAGGGAGCTGCGTTCGTACAGGGCTCACCCACCCACCACCCTCAAAAAAATTAGACATTTGTTATATGACATGAGTTGAGATTAATTAGCGAATATTAACCCGTCAGGCAGCACAGAAGCGCATTTTTGGAAAGCGGCGCTGCTTGCAGCGACAGTGGGTTTGGATTTAGTTCTGGTCGGAAAGTTTGAGGCGAAACGTGGTGGTGGGGAGGTGCTGGAAAATGCCAGTTTGTCAAACCCTAAAGTTTTGGAGGGATTAGCAGCTTTTCCGGGGAAGAATTTAGGGAGCAGCTGAGCCCCGGTGAGGGGCTGCACCTGGAAGGGGGTTTGTCAACCCTAACTCTTCACACATGGCTCGAGGAGCAGGATTTGGGGTCATCTCGAGGCTGCAAAAGCCACAGGGTGGGCAAGGAGGGGTCAGAAAGGGTCCTGGACCTGCTTCCACCTGTGCTGTGGGTGCAGGGCTGGACAATGTCAGGTGGGATGAAGAGCCCTCATCGCTCAGAAAAATACTGGTAAAGGGAAGAGACGGGTTTGTAACTGCAGAAAGTAAGCCCATGGAGCCATTTCCACCCTAAAATGTGTGAGATCATGGAATCATGGGATGGTTTGGGTGGGAAGGGACCTTAAAGACTGTCTAGTTCCAAACCCCCTGCCATGGGCAGGCACATCTTCCACCAGACCTTCCACTGCTCCTCCTGACTATTTTTCCTTATTTTCCCAGAGCAGCTGTGGCTGCCCCTGGATCCCTGGAGGTGTCCAAGGCCAGGTTGGACTTGGAGCAACCTGGGATAGTGCAAGGTGTCCCTGCCCATGGAAGGAGGGTGGACTAGATGGCTATGAGAGGTCCCTTCCAACCCAAACCATTCCATGATTCTGTGAAAATCCTTTACTTAACAAGAGTTTCTGTGCTGGTTTGGGCAGGGCACAATCCCACCCAGGGATGGCCCATCAGAAGAGGCAGCTGTGCATCAACAGCTCCTCGTTGGCATTCCTGATTGTTTGGCAAGTAAAGAAAATGATCTTGGTTATTATTCTCCCCTGAAGAATCCCACCTTTGTCTTGGGATAAGAGCAACTTGCAGAAGGTTGGTGGAAGGAAAGGATGGAAAGCTGAAGAAGCTGCCCTTGGGTGTTGACCAGGGCTAATCATCCTGCTTTTCCCATCCTCAGCCAGTGCCAACATCTGCAACGTCGTCCTGATGAGGCACACGGAGCTGGAAGAAGGGATTGACGTGCTGGACAACAACGGGAACATCGTCGGCTCCTCCAGAATTGCTGCCAAACACGTACGTGCCTGGGATGTTCCTGGAGGGCTGGGACTCGCCTGGATTCCAGGCTCCACGAATCCCACAGGTGTAGGAATCCAGGGCTGGAAGGAGATGAGCTTTGCCCGTCATTTTGAATGTTCTGGCAGACAGGGGCTCGTTTGGGGACTGACCTTGCTGGTCTGGGGGGGCACAGACTGACGTGGGAAGATCCTGTACTGCCCTGATGCTTTCACAGGAATTCTTTGTGGGAAAACTTGTGAGCAGTTCCTGTTGGATACAAAGCAAAGATAACTTACACCTTTTTCCAAATGAGGACGACTCCGAGCCGAGCAGCTTTTTAACCCTTCCCTTGTCAAAACTGCACTAAAAGTTGCCAAGCAGAGCTCTGGGAGGGCAGCCAGATGTTTTTACCCTCGTCCCAACACCTGGCTTGTTTTTCCCTGTAACCTACCCCCCCACCATCTGCCTGGAATTTTTTTCCCTTTTCATCCCTTCCTGCATGGTTTTGTTTGCTGAGCATCATCTGATTGTTCCCAAGTGGGCTTTCATCTGAAATGTAAAGCATGTACCCAAGCACACGCCCAGGCAGAGGAGTTAATAATATAATGCTTGGCATTTCTCTCCCTCCTTCTGTCCAAGGCTCTTAAGGCACTTCATAGACAGCAATTAATGTACAGATTTGCAGTCCTCGGCGAGAAATGGGAGCTCTCTAATATCTCTCCATATTGTTGTTTAACAGGGAGATTAAAACAATCTGTTGAAGGGCTCAGGGATACTGATTTGAGCCAGTTTTCCTCACTTGTATCAACTGGCTTCGGGACCAAAGTTCCCCTCTCCATCCTGATGGTTGAGGGGAAGACAGACAAGAGGGAAAATAAATAAGAAAAGGGAAGGTGCTGTAAGGGCGATGTAGGTGGGGTTTAAACTTAAAATTTGGGAGTTCTGAGAACTTCTGCTCAGCTGCCATGGAGTCCTAAGCTGTTCTTCTTCCTGAACAGCTTAGTGCTGGGTTTTGTCACGTGAGATTTGGCAGATCCTTCGTGGAACACACTGCACCTCTCTGAGAGGTTGTTGTGAGTGAAGGGTCCTGAGGAGCTCCTGTGGATGTTCCTGTGACAGAGAATTGTGGAATGGTTTGGGTTGGAAGGGACCTTAAAGACCACCCAGTTCCACCCCCTGCCATGGGCAGGGGCACCTTCCACTAGCCCAGGTTGCTCCAACCTGGCCTTGGACACTTCCAGGGATCCAGGGACAGCCACAGCTTCTCTGGGCAACCTGTACCAGGGCCTCCCCACCCTCACAGGAATTCCTTCCCAATATCCCATCACTCCCTGCCCTCTGGCAGTGGGAAGCCATTCCCTGTGTGCTGTCCCTCCATGCCTTGTCCCCAGTCCCTCTCCAACTCTCCTGGAGCCCCTTTAGGCCCTGGAAAGGACTGGAAGGCAATTCTGTTCCTTTGAAAAATCTTCTCTAGGTCTCAAGGTATTTTATATATATATCAAGCTGCTTTGTTTGCTGCTTCCTGGTGAATTTTGCCAGGGAGAAAGCACCAGTGGAGGGACAACAGTCCTTCCACAGTCTGTGTGTTTTCCTGGGAGAGGAGAACCCCCTGTTTGTTACAATACTTTGCAATAAACCACCAGTGATTAAAAACCAGCAGCAAGTCTTGGAGCAGGCAATGAGGTGCTCATTCTCCCAGTTCATGGAACTGAAATCAAAACTCAGTGGAGGGGGGAAGAGTTGAAGCTGCTGCCGGGCCCACAGTGAGTTATTTCACCTCACCACATCTTCCAGGCAGCTGGTGCTTTCAATCACATGAACAACACACACAAAAAAAGACCAGCCAAGGCTTTTCTGAGCTCAGCAGGTACATCCCAGGGTTTGTTTGAAGTGTCACAGGTCTGTTTGTTTGTTTTCCCTTCGCAGGCGCTGCTGGAAACAGCCCTGACCAGAGTGGTCCTGCCCATGCCTATACTGGTTCTACCTCCAATTATCATGTCCCTACTGGAAAAGTAAGTGTTGGGGCTGAAGGGGAGATTTGCAAGGGATAAAAGATCCTCAGTAGGTTTCATCACTGCTATTTTATAGTCACAGAATTGTTTGGGTTGGAAAACCCCCCTCCAACCAATCCCCAGCACTGCCAAGGCCACCACTGACCCCTGTCCCCAAGTGCCACATCCACAGGGATTTTAAATCCCTCCAGGGATGGGGATCCACCACTGCCCTGGGCAGCTGTGCCAGGGATGGAAAACCCTTTCCAGGAAGGAATTTTCCCAGTATCCAATTTAAACCTCCCCTGGCACAGCCTGGAGGCCGTTCCCTCTCCTCCTGTCCCTGTTCCCTGGGAGCAGAGCCCGACCCCCCCCGGCTCCCCCTCCTGCCAGGGAGTTGTTGAGAGTGACAAGCTCTCCCTTCAAAGTCCACCAAAGACTTTTTTTTTCTTATTAAGATTTTAATATTCCATCATTTTGGACCGTTGTCAAAGCTGTTAAAGTGCTACATTGACGGGATTGTTTTAAATCATCTCCCTGACCCCCCAGCAGTTTGAGTCACCCTCTTCTTTAGGGTCAGTCAGAATCAAAACTCTGTGAATTGTGGGGGAAACTGTCCATGAGTTTTCAGTCCTGCACTTAGTAAACATTAGGGCAGCCACGTGAGGTCAGACTGAAGGTCTTGCCTGGTGTTCAGCCGGAGATGGGGAATGTAGAACCCACCCTGTCCCTGAGGGCATTGTCCAAACCCTCCTGGAGCTCTGGCAGCCTTGGGGCTGTGCCCACTGCCCTGGGCAGCCTGGGCAGTGCCAACCACCCTCTGGGGGAAGAACCTTCTGCTGAGATCCACCCTGAGCCTGCCCTGGCACAGCTCCAGCCACTCCCTGGGTGCTGTCCCTGTCACCCAGAGCAGAGATGGAGCTGCCCCTTGGGAGAAGCTGCAGATCCCAGTGAATCTCCCCTCAGTCTCCTCCAGCTGAACAACCCAAGTGGCCTCAGCTGCTCCTCGAAGGAAAAGAAGAAATGCTTCATATATTCAGGAGAAATGTGTTTTCCATCACTGTTTAAGACATTGTCTGTCCTGGCAGGTGTGCCTGGACAGTGGGAGGGAAGGGCAGGGTTATTATTTCATGCCCAGTTATCACAGAATCATGGAATGGTTTGGGTTGGAAGGGACCTTAAAGACCACCCAGTTCCAACAGGATGCCTTCCACTATCCCAGGTTGCTCAGTTATCTCGCAGCAGAGTTTTTAATTGCTAAAAACCCGAGCTTTCCCCATCCACTGGCCTTTCTCCTGCCGTGCTTTCCAACACCCCCACATTTCCTTCATCCCAGGGATTCTGGGAGCCTGTTTGGAGCCAGTGGGTGCTTGTGGCTCCCTTAGGACACCGATCAGCGGCTCGTTAGGTGTGAATGATCCATGATCCGTGGGGTGGGGATCTCCTTCCCGGCCTCTGCAGGCTGATTAGCCCACTGAAAGATGGGGATGCTAAAGGACTTGCTGCCTTTGTCCCAGCATGGAAACTGGAGGCTCTCCTCAAACAAATCTCTTGTTAGTGGCTCCAGTGACAGAGTAAATAACAATTAGTACGGTTAGGGACTGACCCAGACCTTTGGTGAGCTTTGTTTATCCTCGTGGAAACGCCCTCGGGCGATTTTCTCTCCTCAGCAGAAGGGTCGGGGCCGCTCCTGTAAACTTGGATTATTCGGGTTTGTGAGAGAATATTTTCCTTCCCAGTGAAGATCCTAAAAAATAAATATATATAAATATATATAAAAATATATAAATATATAAATATATAAATATATAAAAATATCTGGGCGCTGCTTTTGCCCGTGTGAATTCTCCCCAGGGCTTCGTGCCTCCTGTTTGATTTTCCATCAAATATCTTTGGATTCCTGGAAGCCTGGGAGTGAGAAACAGCAGGGGTAGGGACTGGGGTGTGCTTTGGACACGCTGGTGGAGGTGGTGGTGTCCCTGGAAGACATGGAAGTACCTTTGGGATGTGGAGAACATCCCTGTCCATACCTGAGGGATTCACAGTGCAGGTGTTGCCTCACAGATCTTTGTAAGTGGTTGCTGAAGGGCACAGTCAGAGGTAAAACCTCATTTGGGGAACAAAAAAAGACTTGGAGCATTTGGGGGAAAAGTTTAACTTTTTGAATTGTGTGGGATTTCAGTTCGACCAGGGTGTTTTCCATGGGAATGACATCCAGGCCTGCATTATCCATGTATTTATATAGGAATCCTTACAGTGTCTGTAAAGGAGAAAGGGGAGAGTGATGGCTCATTATTTGGAGGCTGGAGAGCTGGAATCAGAAGTCTCAATCTGGATCCTCCCAAGTCATTTGCATTTGGGATTGTGGGATTGTGGGGAAGGATGGGAAGGAAGGACCCTCCTGCCTTGCCTTGGAGCATGGTTTGACATAGGTGACCTGGGTGGGAGTCTCACCCCTCTAGGAACCTTCTTTGTGCTCCCAGCAGGGGTTTTCAGATTCCTGGAAAACTCCCTCCCTCCTTTTCTCCTCGGCATTGAAGAAGTTTATTTTAAGTGGCCAGTTCCTGGTCGCCGTCTTTCCACTTGGATCCAGGTCTTTCCTCTCTCTCAGCCATCTCTCCATCTGCATGTTTTAACTCCCCCAGCTGCCTCTCCCGTCTCCTGTGCCATTTTTTTTTCAGCTCTCTTGGCTCCTCTCGTCTCTTTGCCTGCTGTGTATTTTAACTCCCGGGGCCGCCTTCTCTGCTCTCCAAGGAATTCAATGTTACCTCCCACTGCCGAGCTCCGCGGCGCTCCATTCTTTTCCCCCCATGTTTCATGCATTTCCTGCTGCTTGGACGCTCTGGGGAAGCAGTTAACATATAGAGCCGATGTTTATTTTGAGCCTGCATATGCCACGCAGGGAACACGGTGTCAGTTATTTTGTGCAGATGTATCCTCGTTGAAGTTTTTATAAATAATGTCCCCGTTGGCAGCTTTGATACGGGAGATGGGATGGGGCTCACAGTGGGAATTCGTTGGTGCCCCCCATGTCACAGGGATGTGGGGACAACTGCACGAAGCTGGGCTTCTCATCCCTGTTCCCCTTCATTCGGAGGCTGCTGTGAATCCTTTTGTCTGGTGGTCGCGATGAAATTTGGGAAGTGGAGCGGTTTTCTCCCGGCCGTCATCCGAGACTTTTCCAGTAGCCTTTGTCCAGCTTCCTGCTCCTTCCAGACTTAAAGCCCATCAGGCAGCTGGTCTGTGCATGGGCAACCCAGGTCTGCGTGAGTTCAGCCTCAGGTGCCCCTGTAGGCTGAGCTCTGTGGTGGGAGAGCCCAGATTTTTGGCTGGTGAGGAAGCTCAGTCCATCATCAACGTCTGCTGTGGCCACTTTGAGTGATCTCTGAGTGGAGATTGAAGGACACGAGCTCTTCTTACCTCCTTGTCCCACAGCCTCTGCCTCACAGAGGAGACCTTCTTGGAGGGTCTGAAGAGCAGCAGAAGGTCCAAGAGCTCGGGTATGTTAGATTAGAAGAGGCCCTGGAACTGGCTGTGCAGTGTTGGTGGAAGAGACACAAAGCTGCTGGCAGTGAGCAAGAGCTGAGAGAGATACAGGGAGCAGAACAGTTGTGTCCACAAAAGAGGAGCATTTCTACTCTTTTCTTCATCTCCACATCATCCTGATCTTGTGGCAGAGCTGCCACAGCATCCTCAGGCAGCAGCTGCCAGGGTTGCTTTCTTGTAAAGCTCAGAAAATTAGGATGCTCTCAGGCTGGATCAACATTCCAGAGCTGCTCTGGCTTAGCTAAGTCAGCCTAACCATGAAAAATTTATTTTCTTGGGGGACAACTCATGCTCAGCCCATGGTTTTGTGTTGCTGGAAGGGTGTTTTCTTCAGCTTAAACCATGTTTTCACTTCAGAAACATGCATGAGGTAGGAGGCCCTCCTGACCTTCATTTTCTTGGCTTTTCCCTGGAGATAATCTCCTTTTGACAGCGTGTGCAGGATGTTTCCCAAAGGTGCTTTTCCTCCAAAGTCTCTCCGTCCAGCTAAACCCTCGCTGAAGTTTGTTTCGACTCAGCAGCTGCCAGCAGTGACACCTTAAACTGCTGTGGCTGTTTCCAGAGTAAACATTGAAACTGCTCCTTTAATGATGTCAATCAAGCACAAAAATCCCCCAACCTCACTCGCTCTGCATCTGCTGTGTCCTCTGGAGGGGGCACCGGGGCTGGAGCCAAGAGCAGGAGATGCTCTTTGGGGAGGACAGTGGTGGCCTGGCTGGGTGGGACAGGAGAGCTGCTGGTCACCAGGAGAGCTCAGATTTCCCCAAATGACCCAAAATCAAGGAGTCAGAGAATCCCAGAATGTGCTGAGCTGGAAGGGACCCCCAAGGATCACCCAGTCCAACCTCTCAACCCTGCACAGACCCAGCCCCAAGAGTCCCACCCTGTGCCCCAGAGGATCATCCCAACCCTCCTGGAGCTCTGGCAGCCTTGGGGCTGTGCCCACTGCCCTGGGGAGCCTGGGCAGTGCCAACCACCCTCTGGGGGAAGAACCTTCTGCTGAGATCCACCCTGAGCCTGCCCTGGCACAGCTCCAGCCATTCCCTGGGGTGCTGTCAAAGTGAGTGAGGAAAGGTCAGGAACACCTGATGGGCTCTGGGAAGGTTCACCGGGGTAGTTCGAGGTAGGACAACCACCCCAAACTTGGTTGGCACATCAGAAGTGGGGTGTTTTGAACCCTGGGCTCTGAGGAATGTGGGATACCTCAGGATACCCCGAGCTCCAGCCTCCAGCTCTCCCCGTACCCCGCGGCATCCCCGGCGTCTCGCGGTGTCTGCATTAGCTTTGAACCTGTTTATACCAAACACTCCCCAAACCCCAGAGAATCTGTCAGCTGGGAGGCTTTGGTTGACTCCTGTCATATTTAGTTTAGCATCTGACACCTCCTTCTAGACAAATACAGCTCCGGTTCACTGAACCCGATAACTCCTTTTTAGTACAGCGACTGACTTCCATATGGAATAAATTACAGTACCTCCTGAAAAACGCCAGAGGCAGCTGCCAAATTATGCAAAATTTAAACCACTAATGAACAATGTGATGAAAGTTGAATGAAGGTGTATTTACAAGATCTACAACACACTGTCTCAGCGGAGCAGATGTACTGTCTGTACAAGCATGTGAGTGTGTGTGAGTGTGTGTGTGTGTGTGTGCCTGTACCTACGGACACTCGTGAATATTCCCGGGCCATCCGTGAGGTCTCGCTGCTTTGGGTGGGTCCGTCAGCACCCGGCCGGAAGATCCCCGGCCTGTTCCTGCCTTTTTAACATCTCCTGGGTCAAATCTAGTTGTAAAGGCAGATTGCAGGAAGAAGAGGCGTTAGGGGAGGTTTGAAGGGGGTGAAGAAACGGATCTTTAAGGAAAAAAAGTGAGAGGAGGAGGGAATTATGGCAAAAATGCTGGTTCTTTGCTGTCCAGAGGTCCATGTGGAAACATGGATCACTTGTTTATGAAGGAGACAAACCATCAGTGCCAGGAATTTGGCTTCTAGATGGGAACAATAAAATATATGTATTAAAGGAAACTTAAAGAAGGCTGGACAGGGACTTTGGGCAAGGGCCTGGAGGGACAGGACAGCAGGGAATGGCTTCCCACTGCCAGAGGGCAGGGATAGATGGGATATTGGGAAGGAATTGTTGTCTGTGAGGGTGGGACAGGCCCTGGCACAGGTTGGGCAGAGAAGCTGTGGCTTCCCCTGGATCCCTGGAAGTGTCCAAGGCCAGGTTGGAGCACCCTGGGCTGGTGGAAGGTGTCCCTGCCCACGGCAGGGGGTGGAACTGGGTGGTCTTTAAGGTCCCTTCCAACCCAAACCATTCCATGATTCTGTTGTTTTCCTGCAGCTTTGCAATGTGAGACCTTCTCTTGGTGCAAAGTTCTCAATCCCATGCTGTCTAATCTGAGCACCAAGGTTTAGTTCTCCAGACCCTGGCTGGTCCTGTCCTCTGTACGTGGTGACAGTCCCCAAACCCACCGTTCTCGTGCCAAAACAGCTTCAGTTCTTCTGCAGAACTACTGGTAGGGGAAGAGGATATTTGCTCCTGTGAATACATCAGGCTGCTGCTTCTGCTTTTTGAATATCTCTGGAGGTGTTCAGGAATTCAATTTTCAATACTTCTGGGAATGCTCAAAAGCTGTCTGGGCACAGTCCTGAGTAATGTGCTCCAGGAAAATCTGCTCAAGCAGGAAGGTCGGACTGGATGACCTCCAGTGATTCCTTCCAACCTTACTCACCCTGGGATTCTTTAAGCTTCAGAAGATGCCAAAGCTGGGCTGCCAGGGGGATCTGAAGGTCCAGATCTCCACCTCCCTGATCCAGCCCTTTGGCAGAGCACATAGGACAGCGCTGTGAACCAAATCCCCTTTCCACAAATGGATATCAATTGTATTTATTTTTAATCTGTGCTAATCCTCTGCAATTAAACCCTTTGGAACCATCCAATGGGGGGTTAATGGGTGAAAAGAGGGGTTTGGATTGCAGTTGACAGCCACCAAAAATGCAATATTTAGCTTCATATCCTTCCCAGCTCTGTGCTGGGAGCAGAGATCCCGGGGACAGCAGACAAGTGGACCTCTTGACTAATTATGAGTCATTTATTCTGAACTGCACAAATTTCAGAATCTGAATCCCAATTAAGACATTGCACTACATGTGTTAATTAGCCTGCTCTCCTCTTTACATCAAGCCATAACTCTTCTTAATTGGGAGCTTGGCCCTTGTAATTTGGACTGGCCTTGGAGTTGGAAGCACCCCTGGAAGTCACACCTTGGGGGCTGGACCCGGGATCGTTTTAAATTGGTTGGGTTTTCACTTGGGTGATTATAAGGTCCCCAGCAGGGCAGTAATTACAGAGGGTGCAGCTTCCAAATTAAGACATCAGGGGTGGTGTAAGCAGCGATGTCTTGGTTCTAAACTGTGCTCCGGGGAGGCTCGAGGGATGCTGGTCCTCTGATTGCCTCAGCGAGGGCTCTCATGGATCACAGCAGCTTGAGCAGGAGAATAAATCAGTTCCAGGAGCTGCCCCCTCTGCATCCCGGGGATAATCACAGCTTATCCGTGGCAAGTCTCGAGGGGTGCATTTGGTAAGTGTGGAGCAAGGTTTCCCTTTCCTCACCCGGCCAAAATCCTTCTGGGCTTTCATGGGAGAATTTTAGATTAGACCGTGCTCCGTGCAACAAAGAGAAGCGAAATATTGGAGAACAGAAGCTTGGCTTTCACAGCACAAATTGATAGGATCAACTCCGTCTCGGTGGCTTATTAGTGAGGAGCTGAGACACCGGAGGAGTTAAAGCTCCGGATCGTGTTTTCCCTCAGCTGCTCTCGAGATGGGAGCCGGTTTTTTCGGCGAGCAGCGCTAGCAAGGGGCGAGGAGCCTGAGTGTTCAGCCACACAGACAACGTGGAGCAGGGTAATGGGTTCCCACACATCAGCTGCTCCCTCCCAATCCATCAGGTGCCTGTTTGTAGCTGAGCAGACGGGGAGGGCTGGGGGGAAATCTCCGATCCTGCTGCGGCTGCACGGGGAGATGTGGCTGCACAACCCAGGCTGCCCGTGCCAGAGGTGTGTGCCCTGAGGTGGGGAGGGTTGTCTCGGCACCCTGTGAGTGCCTGTTAGACCCCAGTGGAGGCCACAGGGGTGTTCAGAGCTTTGGTGTGATCAGGTTGTGCTTCCCTTGAGCAGAGGAGAGCTCCTGTGCCCCGGTGGGAAGGGGTTAACTGGGAGATCATGGAATCAAGGAGTATCCTGAGTTGGTAGGGAATCTCAAGGATCAAATCCAGCTCCTGGCCTTGCACAGGGTAACCCCAGCAATCCCACCTGTCCCTGAGAGCGTTGTCCAAACACTCCTGGAATCTCTGGCAGCCTTGGGGCCATAACCAACCCCCTGGGGAGTTCCAGTGCCCAACCACCCTCTGGATGTGGGACTGTTTCCTAATATCCAACCTAAACCTCCTATGACACAGCTCCATGCCATTCTCTCAGGTCCTAAATGACCCAGCAGCAAACCTCCTCACTCTCTGCATTCCTCATATACACTGAATATTCAAAGTTTTCAGTTTATATTCCCATTTTTTTTCAGACTGGTAGGAAAAAAGTTGAATGACAGGAGTCCTTTTTCTTAATAGCTCCAGAATTCACCCCTCCAGAATTATGTTTTCCCTCTTAACATTCATAAACTGCCTGAGGTCCTTTATATCCTGGAACTGTCCCAGTTTTTGGGTGTTAATTGCATCACAAGGGTCACTTCTGGTCATTTTGAGAATCTGACATTGCAGGTATCTTCAAATGTTCCCTGTTAACAAGTCTTGAACTCATAACTATCCCCTGGGAAGAGGAAGTGTTAAAACATCCTTATCACCCAGGCTGCAGATGTTTGGCTTTTAACAAATTAAGGTATTGTCGAGTTTACTGCTGTATTACCCTCTTAACGAAGCCACGTGCCTTTTTCAGCTGGCAGGGCTGACAAAGTTCCCCATATCTCTCAAGGACCTGAATTCCTTCTGCTCACTCAACATCAGCTCCAGAGCCTGAATGCAGGTGACACCAGTGTGTGGCCCCCACTCCAGGGATTTGAACTGGGGGAAGAGTGTGAGGGTGAACTTGTCCCTAACTTACTAAGAAAGGGAGTGCTCAAGGACAGGTTGGACAGGGTTTGGATCAACCTGGGCTAGTGGAAGGTGTCCCTGCCCATGGCAGGAGGTGGAACTGGATGGGCTTTAAGGCCCCTTCCAACCCAAACCATTCCATGATTCCGTGAAGGAACTGAGACCGGTGGGTGTGGGTGGACACCAGCGTCTGTTCTGATGATGCCATGCACTCAGCTGGTCTGTGAACTGGTCTAACAAAGCCTTTCCTTTTCCAGAACATCCCTGCTGAGGTCCCGTCCCCGGATGATTCTCCCAGTGCAAAGCCTTGTGTGCCTCGCTGCCTTCGGCCTGGCCCTCCCCCTGGCCATCAGTCTCTTCCCGCAGATGTCCGAGGTCAGTGCGTGTCTGGTCACTGCAGGGGGGTGTCTGGGGGGATTTACCATCACCAGGGCTTGTTGTGCCTTCCTCCAAAATAGTCTCATTCCTATAGGAGGCTCCTGCATTTTGGGTCAAGTCTGTTCCTGTTTTCTTCACTCAAGTGCAGCCCCTCTCCCACCCCAGTGGTGTTTCCTTGGGGTCAGCACAGTAAAAACAAGTCTTTGTCCATGAAGCCAAGAGCCTGCACCATCCATTTGGTGTGGATGTATCTTCCCAGAGCTTCTTTGAGGGGTTTCTGCCTTTTCATCTTCTAGTCTGGCTCTGGGAAGATCCATCCTGGGGGTGAACAGAGGAAAACCAACCCAGGGAACAAGGAATGACTGATGAAATCACTTGCACCAAGTTAGTTGAACAGATTGCTGAGGTGTATTTGTTTCTAAGCCATTCATTTTGTCCATTTGGTGTTTGGAGCTTAAAGATTTTACATTTAGAGGTTATCAGGGAGGGTCATTATTCTAAAGTGATAAAACCTCTCTGGAACAGAGCAAAGGACTTTGCTGGAGTTCTCTTTGTGTCAGCCAGAACAGTTGATCAGAAATTGCTATCAGTGCCTCTATTGCTTAATTCATAATTTCTCAGTCTGGATGGGTTTATCCACGACTTGCAGCCAGGGAATCTTGTTGTACACTTGTCTGCTGACTGAAAAACACGTTGCAGATTCTGTGTTATCCTTCTACAGGCTGAGATAAACCTGTCCCTTCATCTTCTAAGTAGCTGAATACATCTCAATCTTGGAGCCTCTTGCTAAAAGACGTGTTTTCTGAAGCTTTAATGATTCATATGGCTCTTCCTTAAACTTTTTCTAATTAGTCAACATCCTTTTTGGAGCACTTCCATGAGAACCAGACACGGTATTCCAGTCAGAAGTTGCACAAGTACCAGTTGCAGGAGCAATGTGATTTCCCCGCTTCTCCTCGGATTCATACATCCACAGTTGGTTAGTCATTTTGGCAGGAGCTCAACCTTAGCTCCCTGGCCATCAGCTTTTTGCTCTGATCCCAAGTTCTGCTCAGAGGGTTTTGGTTATGAAAGCCTGGGGAGGTTTGCCAGGTCTTGCACCTGTTCAAGGTACGTGCCTGGAGCGCGTCCAAAGTTCCTGTTGGAAGGAGATTTGGGGGATAGAACATCCCTTATGCTGCCTTTTCATGGAATCATGCAACCACCGAGTTTTTAAGGTTGGAAAAGACCTCTGACTGAGATCATCAAGTCCAACCATTCCCCTGGCAGTGCCAAGGCCACAACTGACCCGTGTCCCCAAGTGCCACATCCACAGGGATTTTAAATCCCCCCAGGGATGAGGACTCCTGTGCCAGGGCTGGACAACCCCTTCAGTGAAGAATTCCTTCCTAATATCCAATCTAAACCCTCCCTGGTGCAGTTTCCAGGGCAAGGAGTTTCACCCACCATCAGGTGGGCATGGCTTTCCCTGGGAGGTCTCCTTTCAAGATAATCAGGGAAGCCAGACCACAGGGGGCAACACCAACCTCATTTACCCTGAAGGTGACACCATTCCCTCAAAATCACAGAATCACAGGCTGGTTTGGGTTGGAAAGGACATTAAAGACCACCCAGTTCCACACCATGGGCACCTTCCACTAGAAATTTAGCTTGATGGGTGACAGATAATTCATCATGTGTGGTGTCTGATATCACAGCAGGGAAAACTGTGTTAATTTTAAGAGCTGAATGAATTCAAGCCCACAAGGAAAATGAAGGTCTGGCTTGCTTGAGAGGATATTCAAATTGCAGGCATCAGGCAACACTGAAAACGCTCAGCATCACTTGAAAATGACCTTCTGAGAGCAGATGAAATGTTATCTGCAGTGTAAACATGAATCAGCGCTGATTAGGAGATCAAACACAGTGACGTGCTCTCTGCCCACGCTCCATGTCAATGAAGAGAAACCATTACAGCTGGTGCTTTAGCTCATTATCTGCTGGGATCTCAGCTCTGCTCCTTTGGAGTGAGCTCCATGGGCACAGCTGGACCTCACATCTGTTGATGCCAAGGAATTCATTCTCCGTAGGCAGCCTGGGCTGGCCTGTGTTGGAGTCATGGAATCACTTTGATCTGGGAGGGTTTTTAAAGATCATCTCATTCCACCCCCCCTGCCATGGGCAGGGACACCTTCCACTAGCACAGGTTGCTCCAACCTGGCCTTGGACACTTCCAGGGATCCAGGGGCAGCCACAGCTTCTCTGCCCAACCTGTGCCAGGGCCTGCCCACCCTCACAGGCAGCAATTCCTTCCCAATATCCCATCTCTCCCTGCCCTCTGGCAGTGGGAAGCCATTCCCTGTGTCCTGTTCCTTCATCCTTTGTCCCAAGTCCCTCTCCAGCTCTCCTGGAGCCCCTTTAGGCCCTGCCAGGGGCTCTCAGGTCTCCCTGGAGCCTTCTCTTCTCCAGGGGAACCCCCCCAGCTCTCCCAGCCTGTCTTCCCATCATGTTTCCTCTTGTTATAAATGTGTGTTTAAAGGAGGTTCCTCCCATTCTCTGAAACCTCTTTAGGGGTTTCTGTGGGGATGCTCAAGTGAGCAGAGCAGGTGGAACAACCTCTCCAGATCCATTTCTTCGCAGTTTGGGATGGGAAACCCAAATCTCCTTGCAGGGAGCACTTCTCAGACCGTGTGATTTCTCAGGTGCTCCTCCCTGCTCCACGAGCTTTAAACAGCTGGACTCGATCTCAGAGGTCCTTTCCAACCCTAATGATTCCAGCTTGTCAGATGAGGAATTCAACAGGCTGGGAGTGCTTGAGCATTGATCTCTGGGTGTCTGTGCAGGTGTAAGCACATCTGCAGGGGTTTAGGGGTTTGCTGTCCCCACCACCTCGGCAGGTGAACACGACACGACCCAGACCGAGCAGTACCCGGGGAGCAAATTATTATCAACAAGGTGGAACAGGCCCCTTCTGTCCCAAAAATATGGTCGTGGTCTGAGCACCAACCCCTTCAGCAATTGCAAAGCAGCCAAATTCTGCCCTTAGTCACACATTCACTGTCCTTTTTCTTGAGTCAAGGAGCAAAACCAGAAGCTGATTTGTTATTAAGGGCTTGGTTTGGATTGACTGTGTCTGATCCACTCTTCTAAAGTGGCTCAAACTTACAATTCCTTTTCAAGCAGAATTTAAAGCTTTTAATAGATTTAATAATTTTACCAGATAAATGATAAATGCAGCCACCTTATCACATCAGCTGTAGCTTCTCTGCAGTTATTCCTGTGTTCAAATGACCTCACAGAAATCAGAGTTCATCTCTGGTTGCAAACACAGACACCAACATCAGGCAAATGAAAATTCTGGAGGTGAACAACCTTCATGTGCTGGGAAGGTTAATGCATCCAGATCTTCTCCTGGGTCGATATCCAGTGTGGGTAAGACCTTGGCTTTGTGCAGATGAAATTCCGCTTTGGTTTCTGCAAGGGTGCTCCAGAACTGCAGCTTGTTTCTGGATGTTGTTGTGGGTTTGAAGATCACCTTATAAAAATAAACCCATCAAGACATGGATCTTCGGGAACACGCTGAGAAACGCTCCCTTCATCCCAACACAGTGTTAACTCCTGCACCTAAATGCATCAATATGCATTGAGTAATTCGCTGCTGTTAAGTTTAGGAGAAACATGTAGTTAATGCATTTAGCCCACAACCTCCAACTGCCTCCCATGCCCCCCGGGGGAATCTCTTCTCCAACCGCCTTATCCCGCAGCATCCCCACTGACAACTCCTACTCAGCTATGCACTGCCAATGGAAACAGCTGTGACAGTTCCAAACCGAAAATGGGACTTGTGCAAATGAAATTCAGTGTAGCAGCAGAAGAGAGATCCACGGGGGTTGCTCCGCTGATTCTCCCACCCTCTTGGTCCCCTGCTCGTCCCCGACCATTCATTGGGATTTGCAGCATCCACGAGGAGGGCGTCGCTGGAAACTCCCGCTGCTGCCAACTCGCCCTTGCCCCGTGTGCGGTGGGACTGTGCTGAAAGAAGGATAAAGCCAGGTGAGAAGTTGGAGCTGGAGCAAGAGCTGATGGCACAGAAACCCTTCCAGTACCTGCAATCCTGGTGCCCCCGCCGTGGGTGAAGTTCAGAGGGTGCTGGACGCTGGTCAGGGCAAACCAAACCATCTTCAGGAATCTGATCTCGCCTGGAAGCCCTTCCTTAAAAATAATCTTCCTTTTGGATCTCCAGGACAAGGGGAATAAACAGCCTAAAATCCAAGGCTGAGCTATTGTTTTCCAATCTGTTTTAGCCTTCATCTTGTTGGCAGGCTGCTTTAGAAAAGCAAAAGGTTAATGAGCCAATGTGCAGTGGGATTATTGCAGTAAAGATGACAGTGAACCAGTAATTACTAATTAGATGCAGTTTAACAGGAGGAACAAGTGAAATCTCCTCTTCACCAACTGTCAATAATTAGCAGATTTGGTGAGGTTGAAATGTGTCCACAGTTAAAAGGCTGATTTTTTAATGAAATGGCACTTGACAAAAGAGCTGTATGGAGGTCACAGCCATAGCCCTCGAGACGCTTCCCCATACCATACTTAGGAGGGAAATCAGATGCAAGACAGCAGGGGGTCCCCACGAAACCACTTCTCCCTTGGGATTGCATTGCAGGAGCAGGGAGGGGGTGGGGGGGAAGGGAGCAGGAGGGATTCTCTGCGGTAATTTTGTCCAAGTTGGATGAGAAGCGACGGGAAGGATTTGCCAGCTGCCACGGGGGAAAAATGTTTGAGAAGTGAGAAGTTCTGTGGTGTTGCTTTGCTTCTGGGTCTGAGGAACAGTTTCCCGAGAGTCTGGTAACCCGGGAGCGCTGGCCAACGTCTACCCTGGGGATGGAGGTTGGCCTTGGAAGGAGCTCCTCGTGGGGAAGAAGTGGCACGAGGTCCTGGCAGGAGGTTGGGAGCTCGGTGGGATGTGCCTCCCAAAGGCAGCAGAAGAACTCAAGCTGTGCCTGGAGGGTTTGGTT